CAGCAAGTAGCATAAAATTTACTCTCTGGTTTGCATATTTCCTATTCCTGTATACCTGTAGCACTCATTCAATGATGCCAAATGCCAAGTTATACTGTCCCACTTTACAGAATACACCAATACAGCTACAGTATTTGACAGCTGGCATCAGTTCTGATTGGTTAGTGCCCATGCTGTACCAGCTGTATTATATTTTGAATATTACTTTTTTACCTATAGCCACATCCTACTAGCCTGTTCCTCCCACAAACAAGTCAGCTAGCTGCTACATGCTTACTAACCAACAGCTCTTCTTTGTCCTTTCCCTTCCTTTCTTTTCCATTCTTCTCTTCTCAGACTCTAAGCAGAAATGATGCAGCCGATGTTACATTTAGTCTTAAAGGGCTCTATGATGACACCAAAGCTTTCCTGGATGAAAACTTGGTGAGTGAAAGGGGTTGGAACAAGGGAGGGCATAGTATCCTATGTGAAGATGGTAACAGTTTATGCTTGGTTCTAGGGACTTGGAAGACATGTAGGAGCATTTTTTAAAAATCCTCACATGAAGACATTTTTCTATCTTTGTTCAGATAGAGTGGGAGGGAGAGAGAGAGAGAGAAACATCAATGTGAGTGGGACACATTGACTGGTTGCCTCCCGCACGACCCGGATCAGGGTCGGGGATGAACTGCAACTAATATACGTGCCCTTGACAGGAATCGAACCCACAACTCATCAGTCTGCGGGCTGACGCTCTAACTGTTGAGCCAAGCCGGCCAGGGCCATGTAGGAGCATTTTAACCAGGTGCTTAATTGGCAGTCCCTGCTGTGTTATACTTACCCAGAGTTGTCATTGATTGTATCACTTCATAGGTTATGCTAATCAATTGGGACTACCATAGCCTTGAAGAAGTGTTTCCCCCTCTTCTCTGACAAATGTCTCCTGGATCCAGGCCACTCAAAAAATAGGTTGTTCTCATCATACCAAAAACAGCTTCAGAAGTAAAAGTGAGCTCTTTTGAGCTGCTATGTATCTCCACAATGTCCACATACCTCTCTCACCATGTGGGAAGATAGTACGGAAGAGTGGGAAAAGTTGGGAGACTCTGGGTTCAAATCCCAAATATTCTCCTTACTAGCTATATCAGTTTCCTAAGGCTGCTGAAACCAAGTACTATTCAAAGTAAAAATTCTGGGTGACATAAAACAACAGAAATTTATTGTCTCACTCTTCTGTAGGCTAGAAGCCTGAAATCAAGGCGTCAATAGGCCATATTTCCTCTGAAACCTCTAAGGGAATCCTTTCTTGCTTCTTTCTAGCTTCTAGTGACTTACTGGCAATCTTTGTTGTTCCTTGTCTTGTAGATGCATTACCCAATCCTCCATCTTCACATAGTGTTCTAACCATGTCTCTCTGTCTTCAAATGAACATCTTATATGGATACTAGTCATACTGGATCAGGGGCCTATGCTATTCCTGTATGACTTCATCTTAAAAACCAATTATAACAGCAATGATCCTATTTCTAAATTAGGTCACATTCTGAGATGCTGGAATTAGAATTTCAACATAACTCTTTTGGGGGGGGGGCACAATTGAATCCATAATAATTTCACCTCTTTGGATCTAAGTTTCCCTAGCTACAAAATAGAAATTATAATCTCTATATTTCCAGGTTGTTGTGAGGATTAAACTGACAATTGTATATTAAGTGCCAAGGCTTGGCACATAGTAGCAGCTTGATAGATGATAAATTTTATTAGCCCTAGGGAAAATGGACTAAGGCTCAGTTTTTGAGCTATAAGAATAGTTGTGTGTTTCACAGAAGGCAAAGCTCATAGGCACACTTGGTGAGTGTGCTCTGATGAGTGAACTGATCACAACTACCCAACTTTTGGGTTGGCTGTTAAGGCCATGAGGCAGGGGCTATTTTTGCTTATCATCTAATTATGGTTTATTTAAAGAGAGGCTTCTTTGTTGATATTCTAAGAGGTGCATCCACTTCCTCTTTTCCTCATTTGCACATCTAATTGGCATACTGCACAGGCAGTGGAGTGGTTAAGGCAACCAGGCCAGGCTGACCCAGTATCTGAACCCTAAGTTAGAGTCTTTCAGCCTTAGACAATAGCAATAGAAGTACCTTCTATATATGGGCAGAATTTGATGGCCTTCCCAGTTTGGGCAGTAGGAAATATGGGAAGTTTGACTTTCATTACCACTCAAATCTTCTTGAGGCTCATGGCATGTATATTGGTTCCTACCAGCTAACAACACAAATTGAGCACATAGTATATTTAACATAGGACCTGATAAGGACCCCTATACACATACACACACCCAAATGAGACCAGGGGTCAGAGAACAGCTAACTATGAATGACCAAGTATCTCCAGAAAGGCTATGTCATAGAGGTGGCATAGAGATAAGACTTATTTTATTTGGGTGTTGTTATTCCTCCCCTTGAAAGAGGATATTGCAGAGCTCAGTGTCAGTAGAGGCATGTATATCTATGATGAAGTAAATCCCACCCAGTAACTCCTACTTCTCTTATTTGGCACCTCATTTGTGCTATGACTAGTGATGTGTTGGCACAGGAACCAAGAAATAAGCAACAAAGTCCTCTAAGTCCATTTGCACATTTACTTCTTAGAAAAGTCCTGGACAAGGTTGCTACTAGAGCCAGAAGGACAGGAAAATAGAGTATAAGACTCAGGCCCACCCACCTACTATTTTTTAGAGCCCAAGTCTCCAGATGCCAAATAAGAAGTAATTTGGAAGCCATTTTATTCCTTTCCTATTTTGATTAGGTATCATTTTCCAAGGCCCCAAATTCCTTTATTTTCTTTATTTTTGGAATCGACTACCAAACCCCTTTGGAGTATTATTGGTAAGTATGCCCCTAAGGACTCCCTGCCCCTTCTCACTTTACCTTGAAGTGCTTGCCATTTCTACCAGACACTCACTCTCCCCCTTCCCACTGCCATGTGTACACAAATGTCCTGTGCATATGGGCTACTATGTACTGTATTAAATCATTAGCTGTAAAACAAAATCGAGAGATATGTCAGCACTGACTTGTTTCTTTCTCATTTCCCATCCTGAGTGGCTATAACCTCCAGCCCCATCCCCCACCCATTCACTTGCCACCCATTTTTGACAGTTGGCAAGGTTCCACTTATGGCTGGAACATCAAGTAGTCAATGCACAGCAAGAAGCCACATAAGGGCCAGGATGAAAGTGGAGTGCATGTCAGGGAGGAAAGGTGAGGCCAAGTTAGGTGGGCTGGAAAACATGTCCAGGTTGAAAATATCAGCATGTATCTCTATTCCCAGCTGATTATTTACTGGAATATGAACTATCTCACCTATGTTGCTGGTCTAGAACTTGGTTAGTTTGAGTTAGAGATGGTTCCAAAAGAATCAATTTTAAGTCTCCCATGGACTGAACATAGTTCATCCTGTGGGTGCTGGGAGTTACTAGGGAACACTTAAGCTGCATTTCCTGAACCCATGGGACAAGCCATCTGGAACTCATTTCTTACTAAGAGTGAACAGATAGGGGCTAAAGCACAACCTGAACAGGCAGGCCCTCTTTGCCAGGAAGGGAAAGTGAACCAATCTCTCTCTATGTCTCTCCTTGCTTCATAAAGCAGCCTTTAAATTATAGTAACTATGTAATAAACCCCTCCCCTCAGCATCCACTCACTCCACATATCCTTTATGAGACTGTGTGTTATAGAGAATAGGCTATAGACTTAAACAGATCTGGGTCTGTCTAGCCATGTAATTTTGAACACTAAACTTCTTTGGGTCTGTTTTCTCATCTAGAAAATAAGAACAGTAGTACTTTGCAAGCTATTGAAAAGTTATTAGAAAAATGGAATGAAATCATGAATGTACAGTGCCTCACATATAGTATGTGCTAAAAAACTGGAAGCTGTTATTTATAGAGACCTTTTTCCTGGACCCTAAACTGTAGGGGTATAACTCAGTATGAATTGGCCCTGGTCAAAGGGCCTTTCTGTTTTCCAAACTGAGCATGTCCAGCCCCAAGGAAAGCCCCACCAACTGGTTGTATTTTGGGTCTCCCTATTGAGAAAGGAAAGAGCTTGCTACACTTTTCCATGAACCCAAGGCCAAGAAAGATGCAAGTTGACACCTGTGGTCTCATGGCTACTAGCAGGGAATAGGAGTTGGGGAGAGAGCAAGAGTCTACAAAGGCAGGGTGGCGGGGATTGGACACTCACCCTTTTTCCTGTTTTCACCAGTTGAAAAATATTGAGGATGAGGCCATACTGCAAACCACCCTAGATGCCATGAATAGGGAGTTTGAAAAGCTATCCAAGATCAATTGGATGAATTCAATCCTTGTTCAAGAGGTATGTGACCTGGGGATTGGGAAATAAAGGGGAATAGGGATTCTTTTTTGGTGCTCTCCCTTCCAGTGTGGGCCAGAAAAATGACTGATGGACCAGAGAGAGTCCAGTAGTGGCTTTTCACTTGAGCTTAATGGAGTCTCCTCCTCCCATTCCCTCATCATAAGTATGCAAGACAGAATGCAAATTGAAAAATTAGATGACCGGATAGGGAAAATGGTGGTAGAGTGAATGGAAGTTACACAGACCGTGTCCCAGGAACAAACTGGAATTGCAACTAAAATAAAGACAAGTCATCTAGGAAAACCAACTGAAGAGCACCTAGAGAGAACCTTTATAACTAAGGATGTAAAGAGGACCCCAAATTGAGAGTGGTAGGAGCTGTAGAGGTGCAAGAGGGCTGGCTGGGTGCCCATAGGCAGAAGCTGGAGGCTGTCTTAGCTGTGAGCAGTTCCCTCTGAAAAGTTGGGGGTTTAAACCCCAAGCTGATTCCCCAGTACAGAGTGGTGGAACAGGGAAAGGTGCCCACATAATACCTGGCTGTGAAAAACATCAGAGCAGAGGTTTTATCCGGTAGGGAGAGGTACAGGGAACACCGGCCCTTTCCTGAATGGCCAGTACACTAAATTACAGCTACAGCTACTCACCTTGGGTTCCAGCAGAGGGAGAGTGGACTGGACTGGAACTGTATGAGGAGAGTTGGAGCTTCATGGCAACTGGGGAGAGAGGTGGGAAGGAGGCCATCAGGAACTCTATGCTGAGTCACTCCCCCACAAGAAAGTAGCCATATTCCTCAAAAAAAAAAAAAAACAAAAAAAAAAACCTTTCCCAGAGAAACTTTAGTCTGGGGGAGAAGCAAATGGTCCTCCTTCGAGAATTTCACACCTCCCAGCCCTGAGAAGCAATCTGAGGCTGATCAACAGCTAGAGACTACCAGCAAGCCAGTAGGCAGAGACGAGATTCTGAAGGCTTTGAACCTTGAGACTGACCCTTAGTGTTCGGTGTCCTGGCTCTGGGGAATGGGCTGTGACGGCTGAGGCCTGGGTCCCTGCACTGAGCCAATGACCCATAATGCGGAAACCATTTTCATCTCAAAGCACCTTCAACACAGGGGAAAGCAATTGCCCCACCCACTGGAAATCCTATTATCCTGTACACCTGAGGGATCTGTCATTCACCTGAGGGCTACAACCTGAGGCTCATTAAGTAACCAAAACTAATACTCAGCCTGCATGTAAAAGCTCTGGGATAACTGAATCTTTGCTTGGCCTGCAACTCTGTCCAGGAAAACAAGACTAGACATTGGTGTTTAGTGAAGTATCCTCCATACTCATCCAAACCTAGCAGAGGATTCCACAATCAGTGGAACACTAACACTAACAGGGTATATTTGGCAGGCTCGAAACCCTCCTGAGACAGTCAAAATGGTGAAACAAAGAAAGAAATCCCAAATGAAAGAACAAGAGAATTCTACAGACGAAGGGATAAATGAAATGGAGTTAAGAAAGTAATCAGAAGTAGAATTCAGAGTAATTATTATGAGGAAGCTCAACAGCATGAGTAAAGATATAGAAACAACAAACATCAACCAATTAGAAATGAAAAAAAAAAAAAAAAACAAGCAGAAATGAAGAATGGCATAGCAGAAATAAAGAACACATTGGAAGAAATAACTAGCAGATTACAGGAAGCCAATGATCAAATCAATGAATTAGAAGACAGGATAGAAAAAATCCCCAATCAGAGAACCCAAAATAAAAAATAAAAAAAAAAACAGGAGGACAGTTTAAGAGTGCTGTGGGACATGAAACATAACAACATTCTGCATTACAGGAGTAACAGAAGAAGACAATGAGCAAGGGTTAGAGAATAAATTTGAAGAAATAGTGGCAAAAAGCTTCCCTAACTTGGTGAAAAAAAGAGGCATACAAGTTCAGAGAGCTCCAAGTAAGAACAACCCAAAGAGGCCCACACCAAGACACATCATAATTAAAATGCCAAAAATAAAACACAGCAAGAGAAAAGCAACAGGTTACCTACAAGGTGCCCACATGAGGCTACCACCTGATTTCTCAAAAGAAACACTACAGGCCAGAAGGGAATGGCATGAAGTAATCAGGGTCAGGAAGAACAAGGATCTGAATCCAAGACTATGCTATCCAAGCAAGGCTATCATTCAAAATAGAAGGTGAAATAAAGAGCTTCCCAGACCATAAAAACAAACAAACAAAAAAACAAACCAAAGGGTAAGGGAATATATTAGCACCAAACTAGCACTGCAAGAAGTGTTAAAAGTACTGCTGTAAACTAGAAAAGGAACAAAGTTGGAGGGATCACATTACCAGATTTCAGGCTATACTACAAAGCCACTGTAATCAAAACAGCCTGGTACTGGCACAAGAACAGGCAGATAGATCAATGGAATAGAACAGAGGTCCTGGAAATTGACCCAAGACAATATGCTCAATTAATATTTGACAAAGGGGGCAAGAGCATACAGTGGAGTAAGGACAGCCTCTTTAATAAATGGTGTTGGGAAAATTGGACAGCTACATGCAAAAAAATGAAACTAGACCATCAACTTACACCATACACAAGAATAAACTCAAAATGGATAAAAGACTTAAATGTGATTCATGAATCCATAAAAATCCAGAAGAAAATGTACGCAACAAAATTTCAGACATCATACGCAGCAGAATTTTCACCGATACATCACGTAAGGCAACAGAAACAAAGGAGAAAATGAACACATGGGACTACATCAAACTCAAAAGCTTCTGCACAGCAAAAGATACAATCACCAAAATGGAAAAGCAACCCACTGTATGAGAGAGCATAATTGCCAATGATACATCAGATAAGGGGTTCATTTCCAAAATATATAGAGTGCTCATACAGCTCAACAAAAGGAAGACAAACAACCCAATTAAAAAATGAGTATAGGACCTAAATAGACACCTCTCCAAACAGGACATACAAATGGCTAAGAAACATATGAAGAAATGCTCAACATCACTAATCATCAGAGAGATGCCAATTAAAACAACAATGAGGTATCACCTCACACCAGTCAGAATGGCCACCATCAACAAATCATCAAACAACAAGTGTTGGTGAGGGTGTGAAGAAAAGGGGACTCTAGTACACTGCTAGTGGGAATACACACTGGTGCAGCCACTATGGAAAACAATATGGTGTTACCTCAAAAAGTTAAAAATTGAACTTCCATTTGACCTAGTGATCCCATTTCTAGTAATACACCCTAAGATGCCTGAAACACCCATCAGAAAGAATATATGTACCCCCATGTTTATAGCAGCACTATTTACAATAGCTAAGATCTCGAAACAGCCCAAATGTCCATCAGTAGACAAATAGCTAAAAAAGCTGTGGTACTTATACACAATGGAGTACTGTGCCGCTGTAAGAAAGAAAGATCTCCTATCATTTGAGACAACATGGAGGGACCTGGAGAGTGTTATCCTAAGGAGAACAAGACAAGCAGAGAAAGACAAATATCACATGATCTCACTTATTTGTGGAATATAATGAACATAACAGTCTAAGGAATAGGGTAGTCCCAGAGACATGGAAGTGGGGTACAGACTGACAATCCCCAGAAGAGGGGGTGGGGGGGAGATAAACCACAGAACTTATATGCATGTGTGCATGAACAATGGACATGGACAACAAAGCTGGGGACAGGACGGGGAGGGTGGAGGAGGGTGTTATCAGTGGGGGAAAAAGGAGAAACATCTGTAACAAAAATAAATACATTGATTAATTAAAAAATAAATGAATAAATAAAATAAAAGGACTGCTATAATAAGGAGAAGAAATAGAGAAACATAGGCATAATAAATAAATAAGTACATATCAATAATAATCTTAAATGTAAATGAATTAAATGCTCCAATCAAAAGCATCAGAGAAGCTGAATTGATAAGGAAGCACCACTCATATATGTGTTGTTTACAAGAGACCCACCTCACAACAAAAGACTCACATAGGTTGAAAGTGAAATGGAAAAAATTTTTCTAAGCAAATGGAAATGAAAAAAAGCTGGGGTAGCAATACTCATACCTGATAAAATAGACTTCAAAATGAAGGCCATAAAAAGATACAAAAAAGGACACTAAATAATATTGAAAGAATCTATCCAACAAAAAGATATAACTTTGGTAAACATATATGCACCCAATACAGGAACAACAAAATATATTAAAAATCTTATGGAGGACTTCAATCCCCAGAACAGCGGTGGTGGGGGAGAGATAAACCACAGAACTTATATGCATGTATGCATGAACAATGGACATGAACAATAAAGCTGGGGACAGGGCGGGGAGGAAGGGGGAAAGAGGAATCAGTGGGGTGGGGGAGAAGAAACATCTGTAACAAAAATAAATTAATTAATTTTTAAAAATCTTCTGGAGGACTTCATAGGCGTAATCGACAGCAATGCAATCATAACAGGGGACTTCAACACCCTGCCGACATTACTGGATAGATCCTCTAGACAAAATATTAACAAGGAAACAAAGACTCTAAATAATTCACTAGATCAGATGGATTTATTGATATTTACAGAGAATTACACTCAAAAACTGCAGAATTCACATTTTTCTCAAGTGCACATGTTCTATCTCAAAGATAGAACACATGTTAGGAAACAAACTAAGTCTCTACAAGTTCAAGAAGATTGAAATCATATCAAGCATCTTCTCAGATAACAATGGCATGAAACTAGAAATCAATTAAAACAAAAACATACAAAGACATTTAAACACATGGAGGCTAAATAGTATGTTCTTAATAAATGGGTTACCAAGGAGATCAAGAAATATATTTTAAAAACTTACTGGAAATCAATGAAAATGAAAACACAACAACACAAAATCTTTGGGATACAACAAAAGCAGTCCTGAGAAGGAAGTTCATAGCACTACAGGCCTACCTCAAGAAAAAAGAAAAATTTTAATAGATTATTTAACCCTACGACTAAAGAACTAGAAAGTAAACAAAAAGAAAAACCCAGAGCAAGTAGAAGGAAAGAAATAGTAAAGGTCAGAGCAGAAATAAATGACATAGAAACTAAAAAAATTTTTAAGTCAAAAGATCAATGAAACAAAGAGCTGGTTCTTTGCAAAGATAAAAAAGACTGATGAACCTTTAGCCAGACTGACCAACAAGCAAAGAGAGAGGAAGGACCCAAATAAACAAATTCAGAAATGAAAGAGAAGTAACAACTGACACCACAGAAATACAAAGGATTATTAGTGAATACTATAAACAATTATATGCCAACAAATTGCACAATCTAGGTGAAATGAAATTTCTACAATCACACAATTTCCCAAAACTGAACCAGGAAGAGATAGAAAACTTGCACAGATGAGTAACGACTAAGGAAATTGAAGCTGTAATCAATACATTCCCAGCATACAAAAGTCCAGATCCAGATGGCTTCACAGGGGAGTTTTACAGAACATTCAACGAAGAACTAACACCCATTCTCCTCAAACTATTCCAAAAAATTCAAGAAGAAGGAAGACTTTCAAACTCTTTTTATGAGGCCAGCATAATCCTACTTCCAAAACCAGATAAAGACACTAGAAGAAACAAAACTACAGGCCAATATCCCTGATAAACATAGATGCCAAAATACTCAACAAAATATTAGCAAATTGGACCCAGCAATACATTAAAAAAATTATTCACCATGACCAAGTTGGATTCATCCCAGGGATGCAAGGATGGTACAATATTCACAAATCAATAAATGTAATACACCACATAAACAAAATTAAAGATAAAAATTATACGATCATATCAATAGATGCTGAAAAAGCATTTGACAAAATCCAGCACCCATTTCTCATAAAAATGCCCAGTAAATTGGAAATAGAGTGATCATACCTCAACATAACAAAGGCCATATATGAAAACCTACACCCAATATCATACTCAATGGGTAAAAACTAAAAGCATTTCCCTCAAGAACAGGAACAAGACAGGGATACCCACTTTTGCCACTTTTATTTAACTTAGTACTGGAAGTCTTAGCCACAGAAATTGGACAAAAAGAAAAAATAAAAGGGATCCAAATTGGAAATGAGCAAGTGAAACTGTCATTATTTGCAGATAACATATTGTACATAGAGAACCCTAAAGACTCCATCAAAAATATACTAAATTTAATAAATAAATGTGGCAAAGTAGCAGGATACAAAATTAACATCCAAAAACCGATGGCATTCTTTTTGTTTTTTTAACCCTCACCCAAGGACCTTTTTTTTTTTTTTTTTTTTTTTTTGCATTTTTCTTCAAATAGAGCGGGAAGGAGAGTGGGAGGAAGAGAGAGAGAGAAACATCGATGTGAGAGAGACACATTGACTGGTTGCCACCCGCACAACCCCAACTGGGCCAAGGACGAACTGCAACTGAGGTACATGCCCCTAACAAGAACTAAACCTGGGACTTTCTGGTCCACAGGCCGACGCTCTAACCACTGAGAAAACCGGTCAGGGTCCAATGACATTCTTATACACCAATAATGAACACTCAGAAAGGAAAACTAAAAAAAAAAAAAAAAAAATCCCATTTACCATTGCAACAAAAATAAAAATAAAATACCTAGGAATAAACTTAACCAAGGTGGTAAAAGACCTGTTCTCAGAAAACTATGACATTGAAAAAAGAAATAAAGATATAAATAGTGGAAATATATACCATGTTCATGGATTGGAAAAATCAACATCATTAAAATGTCCATACTACCCAAAGCAATCTACAGGTTCAATTCAATCTCTGTTAAAGTACCAATGGCATAATTCACAAATCTAGAACCAGTACTCCAAAAGTTTATATGGAACCATAATGGACTCTGAATATTGACAGCAATCTGAAAAAGAACAAAGTAAGAGGGATCACAATACCAGGTATCAAGTAATATTACAAAGACATCATCATCAAAACAGCCTGGTACTGGCACAAGAACAGGCATATAGATCAATGGAACAGAACAGAGAACACAGATATCAACCCAAGACAGTATGCACAATTAGCATTCGACAAAAGAGGCAAGAGGATACAATGGAGAAGAGACAATCTGTTCAATACATGGTGTTGGAAAAATTGGATAGCTACATGCAGAAAAGTGAAACTAGACCACCAACTTACACCATACACAAGAATAAACTCAAAATGGATAGAAGACTTAAATGTAAACCGTGAAACCCTAAAAATCCTAGAAGAAAATTTGGGCAGAAAAATCTCAGGCATCACACAAGCAGAATTTTCACTGACACATTGCCTAGGGGAAGAGAAACAGAAAAAAATTAATAAATGGGACTACATCAAACTAAAAAGCTTTTGCAGAGCAAAAGAAACCAGCATCAAAATGAAAAGGAAACCCACTCTCTGGGAGAACATATTTGCCAATAATACAGTGGATAAGGGGTTAATATTCAAAATATATAGAGTACTAATACAACTCAACAAAAGGAAGACAAATAATCCAATTAAAAGTGGGCAGAGTGCCCTGGCCGGTTTGGCTCAGCGGTTATAGCGTCGACCTGCGGTCCAGAGAGACCAGGGTTTGGTTCCCGCTAAGGGCATGTAACTCGGTTGAAGTTTGTCCCCGGCCCTGGTTGGGTCGTGCGGGTGGCAATCACTCAATGTGTCCCTTTCGCGTCGATGTTTCTCTCTCTCTCCCTCCCACTCTATCTGAACAAAATATAGAAAAATGTCCTTGGGTAAGGATTAAAAAAAACAACAACAAAAAAAAAATGGGCAGAGGACCTGAACAGACACTTTTCCAAACAGTACATACAAATGGCCAGGAGACATGAAAAAATGCTCAACATCTCTAATCATCAGAGAGATGCAAATTAAAATGTTATGAGATATCACCTTACACTTGCCAGACTGGCAGCCATCAATGAATCCTCAAACAAGTGCTGGTGAGGATGTGGAGAAAAGAGTACTCTAGCACACTGCTGGTGGGAATGCAGACTGATGCAGCCAGTATGGAAAACAATATGGTGTTTCCTCATAAAATTATAAATAGAACTGCCATTTGACCCAGTGATCCCACTTCTTGGAATATATCCCAAGAAGCCTGAAACACCAATCAGAAAGAATATATGCACCCCTATGTTCATAGCTGCTCTATTTATAATAACTAAGATCTGGTAACAGCCCAAGTGCCCATCAGTAGGTGAGTGGATAAGAAAGCTTTGGTATATTTACACAATGGAATACTATGCAGGTGTAAGAAGATCTCTTACCCTTTGAGATGACATGGAGGTACCTGGAGAGTATTGTGCTAAGTGAAATAAGCCAGTCAGAGAAAGACAAGTACCACATGATCTCACTTATTTATAGAACATAACAAACAAAATAAGCTATCAACCAAAATAGATCCAGAGTCATGGAAGTAGGGAAATAGACTAAAAAACCTCAGATTGGTGGGGGCTGGGAGGGGAGGGAAGGGATAAACCAAAGAACTTATATGCATATATGCACAACAAATTGATACAGACATTAGGTTGGCGAAAGCAGGAGGGGAGTGGGAGTGGGAATGAGGGTGTCAATGGGGAAAAAAGGGGGACATCTGTAATACTTTTAACAATAAAAAGAAAATAAAAATTAGATGACCATGGGAAAGTAACCAGCAAGAACTATTCTGTGGCAGGAGATGTTTGGGAAAGAATAAACATATTTGCTTTTGTTTATACTGCTTTCCTGACTGTAATTCCCCCTCCCTGCTCAGTACCTGCTTCCAGAACTGAATTTCACCTGTACATACCATTGTGATCATACCAGTTACTTACATCCAACTTCTGTTCTAAATTATTGGTTCCCAGACCTTACTGGTAATTAAATCTTCCAAATATCACCTCTCTTTGCTACTTATTATTCCTCCCCCTCTAGAAGGACAGTAGGCTCTCCAGTGCCTTCCCCTAGCAGGTGTGTGGCTTAAAAACAAACCAAGCATGCCACTAGTGGTTACAATATAGTTGTAGAGATGTTGGCATTTTTGGACAGCTCTATGTGCTTTCCTGAGATTGACAAATATTCCCACTTAATAAATCAAATGACTTCAAAATGTCCACCTATTACTAAGTAAATTATTTCCTTTATGGTCTGACAGGAATCTTCTTTAGATTTCCTCACCATAGAATGACTCATTTCAAACTCTAGGAACCCCTGATTCCCCTACTCATTATACCTGTTTCTGGTCCCATACACTACTTATGTGCATGTTATGAGCAAGCCATACATGCATGCTTGTCTCATGCAGCTATCAGGCTATTATTTAAGAGAAAAGGCCATATATAGCTTTAGGTCTTAAAGGATTTAATAACTTTCTCATATGCCTTTGCTGATGACTTTGCTGCTCTTGATCACTAGCCCTCTGGGAGGGGAAAACATGCTGTTACACACAAAAGGAAGCAAATTCTTGTAGCATCCTACTTCTCTTATTACTTGGTGCAGCTATATCTCACCAAGCTCCCGAACTAAGCAACTGGACTGGATACTGAGAGAAATGAGAAAAACTGTCCATGGTCTAAAGCAGTGGTTTTCAACCTTCCTAAAGCCACAAACCTTTAATACAGTTCTTCATGTTGTATGTGGGTGTATCTGCATGTGGGAGGACATGCCTGCAGATGGATAGAGGAGCAGTGTCTCGGTTCCTAAGACCATCAGAAATATGTATTTTCTGATGGTCTTAGGCGATCCCTGTGAAGGGGTTGTTCGACCCCCAAAGGGGTCGCGACCCACAGGTTGAGAACTTCTGGTCTAAAGTCTTAGTATGTGATTTGGCCCTGCCTGGGGCATAATCTTTTTTCAGGATTTCAGTATTACCATAAAGATGAAGAAGTATTGTTCTAAAGAAGGGCAGAGTGAATTAAAGGAAAGCCAGGAAGATGTTGCTCATTCACATGACACTAATCTTGCTCACCTTAAGGCCATAGAAGATTCAGATCCACTTTGATAGAAAAAGCAGGATAAGAGTCGATTATTCATTGGGCTTTCCAAGGCTTTGGCTGAGGGGCAAGGTCCTGTGCCCTTCCTTTAGGTTTCTTCTCAAAGGCAATTCTGAAGATCCTTAGAGAAAAGGGTAACAATTATTTTTAAATGTTATTCAGCTAACATTTTTACCTTCCTCTTGCTGTGGTTTCCCAGGAAAAAATTTCAGATACTGACAGTAGAAGCCTCAGATCGAAAATTAAGTTCCCCAAATTGAGGAAGAAGAAGTTAGAAGAGGAAGACAAGCCTAAATCAGGCCTAAGACTCCAGAGTTTTATTGGTAAGTCTCCCCCCCACCCCCTGCCCAGGGATAGGGGTAATGAAGACCTCCCCAGCAGCCCTGGTACCTCCCAGAGACCTGAAACTCCAATTAGAAATGTTCACAGGTATAGTGGTGATGGAGGATGCTCGCTGAGAGCCACCTTAGTCAACATTGACCCATCTCTTGGAAAAGGTATGAGTTAGAAAGTGGTATGAACACTGGAAGGAAGAGAACCTGAGAAGGAACCTTGCTGTGTGGTCTCTGTGATATAGACAGCTGAAAAGAAAAAATGGTAACAGGCCATCACTTTTCTGCTTGCCCCATTCCTGTTCTGGGTTGATAAGTATGGCAAAATAATCATACTTAGATTTCTCTACCAGTCAAATCCAACTACAAGATTTTAGTCCTGGTCCAGAAAACAGTATTATTTGAGATGGGTCAGGGGTGTCAGTGGTGGGCATATATAGGGTCAGGAACAGGTCCCATGACCTATCTAAACATTTATATTCCCTATCTGTTGTAGTAAGTCACTGGAAATACAAAGTTTCTGTTATTTGAATTTTGGGTCCATCCCACATTCAGACTTAGATGTATGCATTATTGATATGTCAATGAGGCTCAAAAGAAGATTATCTTATAGAGTTTTCAGTTATGCCAATTCTAATGTCAAGGTCTGTCCTAAATGTTGGGCCTAGACAACTTGGAAGTTTGAGAGATACAGCAATTGTGGACATAGGGGAAAATGAATGGAGGGTGTCAGTTTGTTTTGTTTTTGAGGAAGTGAGAGTCTGCACAAATGCCAAAAGAGAATCTCCTGGACCAAGCTATGATTTCTCAAGTTTGGTCCAAGGTGTTTGATTCCCTATGAATCAGCCAGTTCGGAGACAATGTACTTGAGAGTTTTTCTTAAGGTCCATGGATTTTCAGGTTCTTAGAACTCATCCCATTTGTGTTTGGCTCACATGGTGTCAGTTGGTTTTCTTGGATGGTTCAGAGATAGCTGGTACAATATAAACAAACCAGTTGTGTCCTAACAGACTTTTTGTTTGCTCTCTTTAGGATCCATAAATTTGGACATCTGGAAATGTGTTAACCTTATTTCTATACTTGTTTTTTCTCTGAAGGAAATGTGTGGCATCGCAGAAATCGTGAAGATGAAGCAAAAGATGATGACCCTTCAACATCATCAGGATTTCAACTGTAGTCCTTGAAAGCTGGAAGGAGAACTCATAACATTTAGAACTCTACTAAAAACTCTCAAAACCTCAATACAGGCTAGACTAAACTATTTCAGAACAAACATGAGCACCACCAAGAAAGATCCTTCAATTCTTTACACTAATACACTTCCTGGACTCAATCAGGTCTCCTTAGAGGTTTACATCGTCTCATTGGCCAAAGATTCCTGTTCCGAGTTGTCTTATTCAGTTCTCCTCTTTGTGCACATTGAGCAACTACAGTATTTAATTGGGATTTCTTTATGAAGGGCCTGGGGTTGACAAAGTATTCAAAGGAGTTCACCTCTTCAGGGAGTTAGGAATGGTTTTTTTTCTGACTAGCAGAGAAACTGTTGATGCTAGGGAATAAATAAAAGAAATACTCTCAGGGAGATGAGAGGGGTCAGGATAGCCAGGCTTTGTTGTGTTTCTCTCCCAGTCCTGCCAGTTGCAACTTGCAACCTCAGGAGGTCCCTTTTAGTTGGTTTATTAAGATAAGAATGAGGTCCTGGAGGCTTGTCTATTTGCCTATTACAATGATCATGTAAAATCTTTCCTTGTACGTGTGGTGACTACTCTGCAAATATTTTGTTTTTCCATGTGTGCATGTATGTCTTTGCACATGTCCAGGTGGTGCTCTGGTGGCTATGTGGGCCAATTGGTTGGAATTCACCCTGATGGCAACTAGTATACAGGCTCCCTTCCTACTGCCTTGATCTTAGCCTGCATGCTTCCATGGAGTGTTTGCCTGCATTCTTGCTGGATTTTTTAACTCAATGTTTTGCCGCTGTGCTGCAGTATAGATTATGTATAGAGACATAAAGATGTATATATTATATATATTATATATATATTTTTAAGAGCTGAGAATACAACTCGACCTCTAAGTGACCCTATAATTTATTGTGCTAACCCAGGAATCCCTCTCCACCTTGATCCCATCACCCACCCCTATTACCATGCACACATGCACACATGCACACACATGCGCGCGCGCGCGCGCACACACACACACACACACACACACACACACCCCTCTACCAACTGCCCTATTTCTTGGTGGAACTTCTAATCTTTTGGTGCATTTTCAGCGTCCTTGAAGTGGCTGGGATCTACCTATAGCCCAGCTGATTCTGACGCCCCTTTAAAATTCTGAGCCAGGCCATGGAAATGAGAACAAAACCAATGCCCTTAGAGGAAGGGGCTAAGCATGCATGCTGCCTTTTTTCTCTATTTGTCCTGGACTCTACATCAGCAACTTCCCCGACCTATGCTGTCCCCTTCCCCAATAAAAAGACCATATGGAGCAACCAGGCCTTGAGCTCTGTGACTTAGATGCCTGAGCTAGGGACTGCCTGACAATCAAGTAACAGCTTAGGCCCTTCCCCACAAGCTCCATCTGGGCCTGCACCTTCCTGGACAGGCTGTTGGGTGAGTCCCCAAATCATCTTTGAATTTCTCATCTTGCTCTTTCCCTTGAGTACAGAGAGATATTCAGAGTGACCAGAAAAAACATGGGCCTGGTAACATGGAGACCTTAGCCTCTGCTTCTTCCAAATTCCTCATGAAAACAAACTGTGCCAAAATTGTTCCCAATCCCAATTAGCATTTTTTCAATGTCCACTTCCAGTCAAGCAAACCTAATCAAACTCCAGTGTCCAGAGGGGTTCTCTCTGATCTGCCTTGTATTCCCTACCCCACCCTCAACTCACACCTTTAGGTAAGTGTTCCTTCCCATTGATCAAAAGAAAGTCAGAAAACTGGCCTCTCCCTACTTCTCAAACAAACTTAGTGTGCTCAATTACCTGACTCCATCCAGGCTGGTTCATTGAGGTGCACAATCCAGACTCCAACCACTGGTTCTCAGCTCTGGAATTCCACCAGCCTAGCCCACTTTAACCAGCCACCTGTGTTTCACCTCTGCAGGGGTGAGGAGAAAAATACTAACAAGGGGTTAGTTCCAAATGTCTGATTGCTGTGCCAAATTAAGAAGTTCTAGCTCTACAACTTCATAAGAACGTTAATGGAAAAAGATAAAACATTGAAAATGCATTTAAGCATCAGCATATGTTAAGTTACTGTACATATTTGAGTAGGGGTGTGCTGTTGCTGTGTCTTTGGCTTTCTCAGCAGCATTCTTTCTTCCCAGGAGGTAGTATTAGATCAAATCAGCAAGGTCACCATTGCAGCCTGACTTGGCTTCTCTGTGGCTGCACAAATTAACACCTGCACACTTACTCACAGAGTTGGGAACCAAGTTGCATTTTTTCTCAGAAGAACCTTTTGCAAAATGGAAATTTTCCAAATGAGCAAATTTAATGAAACAAAAGGAAGTCCTGGGAGAGGGTAGCCTTATCTTGGCAGTGCCTAAGCAGGGCTCTGTCTTCTAATTCTTTTTATCACTGATGATAGTAAACTATAATAGGATTCCATCTCTTGTGCTTACTTTGCTGACTTATGATATGTCTTTGTACACTGTAGTGCTATTGTTGCTTTGTTGTACCATCTGGATTCCCTTTCACACAGCCTAAGCCAGAATGATATTGAATAAACCCACACAGATTTGAGGCTGGAATCAACTCATAGAGCAGAATTGATAGGTGATTAGGCCCAGGAGCAGGTGTGGCTTACTAAATTGCTTGGTTTTCTCCTAAATTGCTTAGTTACCAGTTGCTTCCCCAAAAGGAGGACAGCTTGCTGAGCACCTGTTCTTGCATGTACTAGCTTGCAAACAAAACATGGAATGGTGGTCTCTTTCTCAAGGGAGTTGGCTTAGCCTCTGTATGTATAAGCTCCTTTCAGCATTTCATTATTAACTACTTGCAGTAATACAATTGCTTGGGTGGTGGGAACAGACACCAAATACCCACCTCAATGGTCAGAGATGCCATTAAAAGCCAAATATCTTGGGTTTGGTTGCATCTTTGGTAGCTCTTTCTGAGGGATTATATGGGCACTTCCTGGCCAGAATGGTGAAAAAGAACACCAACAGATTTGGACTGCCAGCAATTGCTTCTGGAGTCAATACTACAGGTCAGCAGCTATCAGACCTCTCTTCAAAAAGGGCCTACACTGTGTCCAAAATGGCAGGGGAAGAATAAGAGATTTTCAAATTAATAAATTAGGTTAAAGGTTGATCAGTAAAAACAGTTGGGGTCAACATAATCTTCCCTCAGGACACAAGTAAAATAATCTCAGTCTCATAAGAGGCAGAAACTAATACCAAAGCAACCAAACCCATTAGCACCATTCCATCCTGTAAAGGACCTTGACTGGAAATATGGTTTGTAGAACTGCATATGTCTATTTGTCTGCTAATCTGTAATTCGTGTTGTTTTCTGTTTCACTTTTTTTTTTCTTTTTTCAAAGGCCCTTGCAAATAAGCAGCAGGGCTAGGAGCTGGATGAGGGAGGAAGCTGGGATAGTTGTGGGGTAAGAGGCAAAAACAGAAAGGAAAGGTCTACAAAGTGCGCCTGTGCCTCCTCCCCCCAAAATGGAACACCAGTTTTCAAAGTTAAAAGTTAATAATTTTGCTTCTTAAAATATTTTAATAAATGGATTAACATAATCAACACCAGTGTCTCATCATTTACATCAGGATTGGGGGGGGGATGAAAAGTTTGGAAATGGTAGATGAACTTGGGTGGTATCCAAGCTCTCATAAGCCACATACACGTAGGGAGGGCAGGTGAGGGAAGACAGCGGAAGCACAATCCAAGAACTCCATCAGGGTGATTATAACACTAAAAGGGATGCCACAAAAACTTCTAAAACCTAGCTGCAACTCAGGACAATCCTGTGGAGAAATACCTGCCATTGTAATTGTTCTAGAAGCCAATTCTCTGCAGGACCCAGATTTCAATGAAATGAAGTGGAGAGGGAAAGTGAGGTAGAGGAGCACAGCCCTGACTACTAAATAGATGCATAAATGCAAAGAGCACCTTAAAGAACTTTTTTTTTTTCTTCATAAAGTCCAGTATATTTTCTGCTATAACACAGCTAGTTATCTTTTTTTTTTTTTTAGAAGATAATAATTTTTTTATTTATTTTTTTGTTACAGATATTTTACCTTTTTACCCCATTGGCATCCCCACCCCCACCCCCTCCACCCTTTCCCCGGCTTTTGACAATACAATCTGCCCACCTAACACATACATTACATACTCCTCACCCCTCCAGAAGGGTTTAAGGTAGGAAGGAGTGTTCTGTTCAGATGCAAAATTGGTGAGACCTGGGATCAAAAATGGTTCAATTTCTGCCCTACTAACAGTGATCCCAGACGAGCCAGTTATTAGTCACATTTAATAGGTAGGCGAAAGAGGCTATACAAGACCAGGATTCCACAAACTGCTATACCAGGATAAGAAGTTAGATCTTCTAAATCCTTGACATACCAATACTAAAATTGTCTCTTGCTTAGAGACAAAACAGTTGTGATCTTCAGGACCACAGTGCAGTCTACCCCCATAAAAACTACATTCTTAGGCTTTATGAGGGAAACAGCCCTATTGCTGAGGAACTATCACTAGGGCGGGCTCTGTAATTCATGTTTAGAAGTTTAGAATACATCCTGTAGGCAAGGGAAATACCAGCATAACTGAATTGAAGTCTGTTTTTCAAATTATGGTACAATAAAATTGCTTTTTCCTTTTGGTATAAAATTCAGTGAATTTTAACATATATAGATATTCTAGTAACCACCACCACTATCAGGATACAGAATAGTTTTCACTGCCCCATAAATCTCTTTCACATCATTCCTTTATAGCCATACTTTAACCATACTTCTAACACTGGTCTATATTCCATCATAACAGGTATTTTTCTTTCTTTCAAGAATGTCATAGATTTAAAAGGGAAGCTACTGTATGGGAAAACATATTTGCCAATGATAAATCTGATAAGGAGTAAATTTCCAAAATATACAAAAAAAAAAAATCATACAACTCAACACAAGGAAGACAAACACTCCAATTTTTAAAATATTATCCCACTTCTAGGAATATATCCTAAGAAGCCTGAAACACCAATCAGAAAGAATATATGCACCCCTATGTTCATAGCAGTGCTATTTACAATAGCTAAGATCTGAAAACAGCCCAAGTGTCCATCAACAGATGAATGGATAAAAAAACTTTGGTATATTTACACAATGGGATACTATATAGCTGTAAAAAAGAAAGATCTCTTACCCTTTATGATGGCATGGAGGGACATGGAGAATGTTGTAGTGTTGTGCTAAGCGAAATAAGCCAGTGAGAGAAAGACAAATATCACATGATCTTACTTATTTGTGGAATATAATGAACAAAATAAACTGACAAACAAAATAGATCCAGAGACTTGGAAGTAGGGAACAGACTGACAAACCTCACAGGGAAGTGGGGATGGGGGGTAGAGAGAAACCAAAGAACTTATATGCATCTATACACACACACATATATATATATATATATATACACACACACATATACACATATAAAACCAATGAACACAAACAATAGTGTGGTGAAGGCAAGGGGGCAGGAACCGGGAAGAGGGTGTCAATGTGGGGCGGGGAGGAGGGACATTTGTAATACTTTCAACAATGAAGATAAAATTTTTTTAAATGGGCAAAGGACCTGAATAGACACTTCTCCAAAGAGTACATACAGATGGCCAATAAACATATGAAAAAATGTTCAACATCATTAATCATCAGAGAGAGAGGCAAATTAAAACTACAATGAGGTGTCACCTCACACCTGCCAGAATGGCTGCCATCAACAAATCATCAAACAAGTGCTGGCGAGGGTGTGGAGAAAAGGGGACTCTAGTACACCGCTGGTGGGAATGCAGACTGGTGCAGCCACTATCAAAAACAATATGGTGTTTCCTCAAAAAATTAAAAATTGAACTGCCATTTGACCCAGCGTTCCCACTTCTATCTCCCTCTCCCTCTCTCTCTAAAAAAAATCATACGAAGGCCAATCCAGCCACAACATTGGTTAGCGATAGGCTGAGACTGGCACAAAACACATGATTAGAATATTTAATATGGTTAAGATGGCAATAAATCCCAAAATGACCTATAAATTCAATGCAATCTCTTTCAGAATCCCAGCTTTCTCTTCATAAATTGACAAGCAGATGCTTTAAAAAAAAATCACATAGAAATATGAGGGACCAAGAATAACCAAAACAATCTTGAAAAGGAAGAAGAAACTTGGAGAACTCACATTCCCTAATTGCAAAATTGACTATAAAGCTACAGTAATGGGTATGTTGCTGGCATAAAGATGGATATATAGGTAAATGGGATACAACTGAGAGTCCAGAAATGAGCTCTCACAGTTACGGTCAATTAATTTTCAACAAGGGCACCAAGATCTTTTTCAATAAATGGTGCTGGGGCAACTGGATATCTACATGCAAGAAAATGAAGTTGGACCCCTATATCACAATATATATAAAAATTAATTCAAAATAAATTTAAGGCCTAAATGTAGGAGCTAAAACTATAAAACTATTACAATAAAACACGGGGATAAATTTTTATGACCTTGGATTAGGCACTGACTTCTTAGATATGATATAAAAACACAAATATACAAAAATAGATAAATTGGACTGCACATTATTAAACTTTTATGCTTTGAATAACACTTATCAAGAAATACCATCCTTAAAATCAAAGAAAATATTTGCAAATCATATGCATGATGCAGAACATGTAAAGAATACTTACCACTCAATAATAAAGAGACAAATGACCCAATTAAAAATTGGCAAAATTTTTGAATAGCCATTTCTCCAAAGAGGATACACAAATGGCAAATAAACACATGAAAAAACAAATGCTCAACATCATTAATACTTAGGAAAAGGCAAATCAACACCACAATAAGATACACTTCACACCCAAATAGATGGCTATAAATAAAAGAAAGGTAATAACAAGTGTTAGAGAAGATGTAGAGAATGTAAAATACTGTTGAGAATTAAAATAGTGCATGATCCAGCCAATTCCATTGCTAAGTATATACACAAGAGAAATAAAACGTATTTCTATACAAAACTTGATCATGAATGTTCACAGAATTATTCATAATGGCCAGAAAGTAGAAACAATCTAATTTTCCATCAACTGATGACTAAATAAACAAAATGTGGTATATCCATACAAAGGAATGTTATTCAGCAACAAAAGGAAATAAAGTACAACACATTGCTACAACATGGGTAAACCTGGAAAACATTATGTTAAATGAAAGAAGCCAAACACAAAAGGCACAAATTTTATGATTTAGTTTATATGAAATAACCAGAATAGGCAAATCTATAAAGACAGAAAGTACATTAGTGGTTGCCTAGGGCTGAGGGTTTCAAGGATAAAGTGGAGTGGTGATTAACTGCTAATGGGTATGGGGTTTCTTTTGGGGGTGATGAAAGTGTTTCAAAATTAGATGGTGGCAATAGATGTACAACTCTGTGAATATACTAAAACTATTGAATTGTACACTGAAATGGATGAATTATATGTGAATTATATCTCAGTAAAACTATTAAAATATATATGGTTACAAAAATCAATTCTATTGTACTAGAGTAATCAAAACACAAAAACAAATTCTTGGTAGAGAAACAGATGTGCTTCTTTAATAAAGCACTAAATAACAAGATACAGGTCTAATAGCTTTCTTAATTTTGAAGTAATGATGAGTGTAAAATAAGTTTGAGACATGCAACAGAAATGATTTATGGTTCCATTACCACCTCTGTAGAACAAAAAAGTTGGAATAAAAAGGGGAAATAATTGAACTTGTTAATTGTTTCCCCTGACGAAGCTCCAGAATTGAAAAGGTACAAGATGCTTCTTTTTAGTGAAGCTGGAGATTTGCAAGATGGATTCCAGCCCAATATTTTTAGCATGTTTATGTAAAGTTGGCTGTGCCAGCCAAATCACTACCAAGCAGCTTGGACCTCTCTGACTGTACCCTTTAGTCATCTTGCAAAGCAGTAGAATGGGGCAGGAGAGAATCTAATAATATCTGATCACCAAGGCAAAGCAAGTTGGGAGGGAGAATATGAAAGTGACACAAAGGAGAATAAAGCACTAAGACATCTAAGGGCATGGTATGCTTTCCCTGTCCCCAACCCACCAAAAAAGGTGATATGATCTGACTAGCATGGTAAGTCGGGGGCCAGAATTGGAGAGGTATTTTCCCCATAACTTCTCTATTGACTGTCCCCTCCACCAGATATCCACCCCAAGGACTCATATTCAAAATATTTGATGAGTAGTAACAAATGGCCACAGACCAATCAGAATAGTTGCCAGCCACAGTAGTAGAATATAGCCCTAGAGTTCTCCTGCTGTGACAGACATTACTTGTTTCAGTGGCTAGATTGTGGGGAGGTACCAGAGGTCCTAGAGGCCAGATTAAGACAGTGTTTCTTTATCAACTGGCACAGACGATGTTCAACTCCTCTGTGAACAAATGAGATAGCTGTACCAGTACACATCACCCCAAAGACTCTATAGATAGATATATAAATCCTCACCCAAGGATATGTTTCTATTGATTTTTAGGGAGAAAGGAAGGGGGGAGGTGAGAAAGAGAGAGAGAGAAACATCAATTAGTTGTCTCCCATATGCACTCCAACTGGGGATCAAACCTGTAACCTAGGTATGTGCTCTGACTGGGAATCAAACCCACTTTTTGGTGTATGGGATGACGCTCCAATTAACCAAGCCACCCAGCCAGGGAAAAAAATTTCTTCTCTTGACAGAAGATAAAGGCCAAAAGAGATTTCGGCATTTAGACTTTAGATAGCTGCCTAACTATGAAAGTAGGGCTGTCTTTGGGTGAAAATCCTGATTCCTGCCTTTTCATCATCTAGGAAGAAGGAAAGAAAGCAAGCATCATGAGATAGGGACCAAAGGGTATTAGCCGAGATCTGAACACTGAGACCTATCTGTCAAGTAGAGGTCTCTCTCCTTGGACTAGGCACCACCACCCAACCCCAAACCCTACCCCAAGGATCCTCCTTCTACAGACTCATCCATCAATTCACACCTAAATCAACTTAATTCTTCTTGTCCTGAAGGGAAAGCCTCCAAACAGAGAAGGAAATGGGATAAGCTAGACCCTGAGGAACAGCCTTTACTACGAAGGAAAATAACCTCCTTGGGCTATGAAATAATGGATGCAGAGAACATATTGACAGCTGTCAGAGGGAAGGGGTTGGGGACTGGGTGAGAGGAGTGAAGGGATTAAGCAAAGGAAATAAAGACTCATGGACACAGACAACAGCATGGTGATTACCAGAGGGAAAAGGGGTAGGGGGAGGTAGAAGAGGGTAAACGGGGGGGGGGGGGGATAAATGGTGATGGAAGGAGACTTGACTTGGGATAGTGAGCACACAATATATAGATGATGTATTATAGAACTGTACACTTAAAACCTGTATAATTTTATAAACCAATGTTACCCCTAATAAATTCAATTAAAAATTGTAAATAAAAAAGAGGGTAGGTGAGCCATTTAACAATAAATATTATTTTTTATTATATTTCTGAACAAATATTTCAATAATTTCTTCTCTTTCATAAAAAATATTAAATGTTTATAACACTATCAGTTTGGGAAAAGGCAAACAAAGAGTGGAAATGAAGAAAAGTAATCAAAAAACAAATTCAAGGACAGAATAAATACAGTCTAGTTACATGCCAGCCTGGCCCTGGTAGCTGCTGCCAGAGTTCGAGGCTCTGTTTCAGAATTAGCAGGAATTCAAAATTTCCTCCAGCTTCAACATGTCCAAGGGGGGGGTTTTGGTGACTTCAAAGAAGAGCCTGCAAAAGGAAGACACATCTGCTCAGTGTAAAACAGGCCAAAGCAAGCAGGCTTCACGGAAAAAGTGGGATACAGGGTCCTTGGTTCCCTATTTTGTTTTAACCCTGGAGCAGAAAGTAAGGTAAAAGGTACCTAAATCTTTCTTTTCCCTTAAATGAGGCTAGTCTGGGCCTCCTCATGACTGAGCACAAACCCAGTCTCAGCTGAAGCTTGGTACTTACTGGTGAGAATACTTGGAACGCACAGACTTGAGCCTATCGTCGCAAGAACGTAAAGACAGCAGCATGTTCAGCTTTTTGACCAAGGGGTAAAGATCAGAGGTCGTGTAACCACTGTAATATTCCAGGGTAGGAGCCTGGAAGAAGCAACATAAACAATGACTTTTATGACAGGAAGCAGATCCTTCCTCTGTGTCTACTATCCCAAATCCAAACTTCCTACCCATGGTATTGAAAGGAAAGAGAATGAAACATTTGAAAGACTCATACGTCACAGACATTGACCAATTTTTATAGAATAGGTTCTAGCCACAAACTAGCAATATGGCTATATCTACATGTACCAGTTGGATATTATCCCTCGCCATAGATATTCAGGTAAGCTGAAATCCACCACCAAAGAATACAAAAACGGGACTGACTTTGTAATTTACCCTTTCAGGTCAGAGCAAATGGCCAGGCAAACGTCAGAACAAACTTGAGGTCCCAACTCAACAGCCAACAGGAACTTAAAGCTGTTCCTCCTCTCTAGCTCTACCAGCTATCATTGCATGCATTCATTTTCATGTTCAATTTTAAGGATGCCTAATATGTAGCAAAAGCAATATAGCAAAGTACTTAAGAGCAAGTGTCCTGGAGGCAAATTGTGGGGTTCAAATTCCAGTTTAACTAACAGTATGGCCTTGAACTGGTCATTTAACCTCTTGGTGCTTCAGCTTCCCAATCTGCCAAATGGGGATAATTATAATAATTACATTATATGATTAAATGAGTTAATATATAAAAAAACACTTGGAACACAGTCTAGCACATAGTAAGGGTAAATAATGCTAGCTAGGATTAATAATATTACCAAGCCCTATATAGGATACTGGGAATATAAAGATGACTAAAGCTCATGCCCTGGAAGAGTCTATAGTCTAGTGGGGGAGACAGACATGCACATAGAGAATTACAAAATGTGTGGGAAGTGCTATGATGGAAGTGAGCATAGGGCACCTGAGGCACAGGGCAGCAAGACCCAGTAACTCTGGCCAGGAGAGTAACAGAAAGCTTCATAGAAGAGGGAACATCTACAATGAGTGTTGAAAGTCAAGTTGGAACTCCACAGGTAAAGAAAGAAAGATTTATTCTATAACGCAATGATTTTCTAGAAATATCTTAAATAATTTTACCTAAACCCTTCTTTTAAAAATCATACCTGGAAACCCAAATATCTTACCTGGATTGGGGGTGAGGGCCTAGAAGCCCACCAATTTGAATCCCTTTATCTTTTATATGGCCTATGAGACAGTTCTGCAGGAATCCCGAGGCTCTACTGAATACTGTTTGAAAACCACTGCCACAGGCAAAGGGCAGTCATTGACATGTGGAGCAGGGGAGTAACATATTATATTTAGTGTGTTAAATAAGATTAATGGCCCCATTGTCACCGCATCAGTTCAGGCCCCAGTGCTTCACCTTGACTATTACGAAAGCTTAGTTGCCATTTTTATACTCTCTGTCATCTAGTATACGTTCTATACTGCTATACAAGTACTATTTCCAAAATACACAAACAGGGGTATGTCACTCCCCTGCCTCAAAAACGTTCAGTGCCTTAGTATAAGATGGGTTTTTCAGCATGACATCAAAGGTCTCTTACAATCTGAACATATCCTACCATTCTGGCCTCATCTCTCACCATTCCCTATTCATATAGCCTCTGCTCTATCCTTAGGAAATGTCTTATTCTTCCCCCAAAACATCACACTCTTAGTATTGCCTTCATATCTTTTCAATTATTGTTCTCTCTACCTAGAATGTCTCCTCTCACGGGTCTCTTTCAAGACCCAACTCAAAAGTCACCTTTATGAAGTCTTTCTTACCTATAGAAGCAGGATATATAGCATAGAAGATTGTGGAACCAGACTACGAGGGTTCAGATCAGGGTTGACATTTGCTTGATACTTGCTGATACAACCATGCCAAGTGTTAAAACATTGAAATATTTATATACTGGTTGGCAAGCCCTGAGCCATTCAATTGTCCTCCTCAGTACCTTCCAGACTTCCTCAGGATCCATGGATCAAAGCATGGCTCAGCATTGGGCCTCCAGGACCATGGCTCCAGAGCTATGGCCACATCCATTTTGATTATACAGTACTGACTGTACACCACTCCTAGTTCTGCCTCTCCTTAGCAAAACATGAGAATTTGTTTCTTATCTATAAAATAGGGATAATACTGATCTTTTAGGGTTATTGTGAAGATTAAATAAGTTCATACGAAGTGCTCAGATCACTAAGCACTCAACTTATATAAACACAAATGTTTATAGAGCTCTTTCTCAGCACACAGAGGCTTTCCCATCAGTAGTAACTCTAGGATTTCTAAATTGGAGGGGATTAGAGGTAGATGGGAAGAGTATGCTCATTTGCAAGCATACTCTTTCTACTTGGATTGCATGTTACAAATGTTAAACATTAATAATTCTCTGAAGTTGCTTTTCACAATTTTTCATAAAATTGAGAAAGAATCAAACATGAGTTTTATTTGTATTGGGGAAGGAGGCTCTGGGGCCTTCCTCTTCAGAGAAGAACAATACTATAGTATACCTATAAGTCCCTGTTACACGAACGGACAGTTACTTTCACTAATTTGTTCTCTAGGTCAGGGCTTTTAAAACCCTGTTCCAACAAGCTCCCTCAGGGGCCAACCTCACTGAAGGGGCTACAAGGGGCAGAGGTGGAATGGGAGCAGGTAGAAAGTGAGCTGACCCCAGCCCTGCTGCAACCAGAATAATTTCACATTAGTCTGTTTTGTGATATTAAGCTTTCAGATACTTTTTTTGGAACAAAGGGTACTGTGACTAAAAATACTTCAGAACAATTGCTATGGAAACCCTTTAGGCAGCCAGGACCCTAAGATGTTGAAATGTCAAATAATTCATAACTATAGGTACCCAGCAGTTTTGGCACCAAATCTCCTACAGCTCTAATTTACACCTTCCTCCTGAGCCCCTGTGCTTCTGAATCCCCACCACATGCCCTTAGGCAGTGTTTACCAAGCATCCAAGCTTCTTCATGTGGAGAGCCAAGAGGAAGGAACCAGCAGCTAGCTTAGAAGCCCTTTCCTGGATATAGTCATATTCTTGCAGGGTCAACTCGCAGATGAAACGGGACAAGATCACTGCATTCATGTTGACACGGACACACTAAAGGGAGCAAGAAGACCAGTTCAGCAAGCAATTCAAAAAACCAGGACCAAGCAAAAGACCCCCCTGCATCCACTCTCTCCAGTCATCCCACCTCAGGCCTAAATGGCTCTCTGCCTGAACAATGTACCTCTCCTACCATCATGATTCACACTAATGCATATTACTCCTGAAAGCACAGAATCTTGGCGGGGGGGGGGGGGGGGGGAGGGATTCCGAAATAAGCAGTGGGATTCACCACCTTTATAGTTTGTGACCAAATTACCAAGTGTACTCGTGGTACCTTCCCATTTACTCTTCCTGCACAAGTCATCCCTTGAAGAGTCAAAGCCCTCCAACTATAACTTTATACCAGGTTCCACCCTAGAATGTGTTCTATGCTCCAAAAGAACTCCTTCCCCTTTCTTGTTTGTTTCTTTTTTATTATAACCTATAACACACCCATAGAGAAAAAGTATGCAACACCCATTTGTAGAATGCAATGAATAATTATAAAGTGATCTCCCTTGTAGTCAATACTCAGGTGAAGGAAGAGAACTTTGCCAGCATCTCCACCAAACCTCTCATGTGTCCCTTCCTCATAAAAGAATCTTCTCTTCCTCTCCTATTCTGCCCTCATCTCAAAACTTTATAACCATACTATGCAAACCTCCAATTTTTTTCCTCCTCCACTTCATACAGATAGCTAATCTAGGAGGGTGGACAGAAGAAGAAATTCCTCTGTCCTTTCCTTTTACCTATCACTCAGGCAGCCAGTCTGGGTATGGAGGAGAGACAAAACCTGGAGGGAGAATGGAGATACGCCTTCTCTCTCTTACCACAGAATATCTGCGCAGAAAATGATAGGCGACAGGAATGTTGATATCAAATTTGAGGGTTTGCAGGATACTGATTTCCATGGCTAGCATCTCATCTCGCTGATAAGCATCATTACAGAGGTACAGGAAGTCATCCACACCCGGTGGGTAGGACTCCTACAGGTGGAAAGGAGAGACCGTCACAACCAGGCCAAGACAGCCCACTCCTCTCTGCTTTGAGATGAAAGGCAAAGGGGGAAAGGGTGAAGGATAGGAAGTGGTAACATTTTTTGGAATAAACCTTCAGGTTAGCTCTGAGAGCCAGCTTTGGTTGATTTGAGTGGCCCATCTGAAAAACAAAATCAGAGAGACAGGAGAGATCTGCCTCAAAACTGCACGACTAGAGAAAGGATGGGGCCTTTGGGGGTAGAGTCTTACAGCGTTGGAAACACATAACATGGCACAAGGACTGGGATCATTGATCTCTCTTAAAATGGGTGAGAGCTAGGAATGGGAAGAGAAGAAAAAAGACCACAAAAGGGGGGAACTAGAGCTAAAAAATAAGCCCTCACTATGTGTCTTCATTTAAAGAGTAAATAAGGATATTTGAGAAGGGGCACCGCAGGCATAACAGGCAGTGAGACAGAAGCAGGGAAGCAGAGAGAGAACCTAAAATGAGACTCAGGACTACAGAGGGTGGGAAGATACGCATGGGGTCTGGACTGGGAAGATCCAAGCCAACCCAAGGGTGAGAAGAACCCTGTCTGGGAGCACCTTCCCATGTCCTGCTCTCTGTAGACTGAACCTTGGTTTTGGGGAGAGGCCTGGAAGGCAGAAAAACTGAATTGTTTCTCTAGATGCATCCACCTGCCCACCCCAGCCTTTTCCCTGTCTATTTTCAGATCACAAACTGGATTAACCCTCTGGCTTTTCAGACAGGAAATAGAGGCCCAGAGAGAGGTAAGTCATTGTCTCACGTTCACACAGCAACCTAGTGGTAAGGCCAGGGCAAGAAACTCTCCCTTCCATTGCTCTACTCACCACTGGCCCCTTCCTTTATTCTTTTCTCATACCATCTCCACACCTCCCCTTGCAAAAGTCTCTCTGTACTTCTCAATCCTGGGAGGGAAAGATACACCATCTCTGAAAAACTTAGCTGGGGCCTTTTGATTTGGAAACCCAAAGAGGCATGATCTTCGTTGGAAGATTTGCTGAGAAGTGCCCCCTCTTACTCTTCTCCTCCCTCTTGCGCTCTAGGGACCACAGCTACTTTTAAACCCCCTTGAGGCTGAGGCATAAAGTACTTGTTCAAGCCATAAAAATGGCCCCAGGTAGGGAAAAGGAAAGGAGGGATAGAGAGAGGGAAAAAGAGTGGAGGGGGAATAAGAGAAAGAACCAAGGAGTAAGTGAGAAAGCAGTGGAGGAAATGAGCCAGAGAGGAAAGCAGTAAGAGAGGGAGTAAGGGACAGCATGGGAAAAGAAGAGGGGAGAGAGGGAAAAGGGGAAAAGGAGGCTAGGAAGCAAGGGAGGGAAGGACAATGGAAGGGAGCAAATGAGAGTGGGTGGTAGAGAATCAGCAAGGAAGCAAGGAAGGGAGGAAGCTATCAGAGAGGGAGCAGAGAGGAATTATGGAGGAGGGGGAGCAAATAGATAGAGAAGGAAGTGAGCTACAGAGGGAGACAATGAGGGAGGCAGCAATGGAGGGAGGGAAAAGAGAGAGAGAGGGAGCAAGGAAAGAAGACGACTAGGGAGAGAGGTTGGTAGGTAGGGAAGGAAGGAGAAAGAAAAGGGGGAGAGGAGGAATCAGCAGAGGTGGGGGAGGAAGAAGGGAAGGGGGAAGCCAAGGAGAGGGAGGGAGCAAGGCACAAGTAAGGGAGAGGAGGGAGGATGACAGGGAGGGGAGAGGGTTAGCAAGAAAAGGGAGAGGGAGGGAGGGAGGGAGGGAGGGAGGGAGGGAGGGAGGGAGGGAGGAAATGGGAGGGAGAAGGATGGAGTGCGACTGAGGGAAGGAAGTGTCTGAGAGTGGGAAGATGGCAGGGAGGAAGATATGGGAGTAAAGGGTATAACAAAGGTGGGAGGAAGGGAACCAGTAATCAAAGGAAGGATGGAGTAAGGAATGGAACAAGGTAGCAAGTGAGCAGGTAAGGGAATGAGCAAGAGAGGGAGCCAGAAAGGAAAAGAAAATTCCATAGAGGGAGAGGGTCCAGTATGAACTGAGTGAGTACACAAATTAAGGATGGTGGGATCAAGTAGTGGATTATGAGAAGGCTGGAGAAAGACTGCCAAAGAGTGAGGGCAAAAGTGAAGTAAGGGCTTACATGATGGAGGGCAGAAGTGAAGTGAGGGCAAGGGCCACAAGAGAAAGAAGAGGAGGAGGAAAGTAAGGCGCAAAGGAGAGAGGGTTGGAGTTTGGAATGGAGGCACTGCAGGACTAGGTAAGGAGTAAATGATCAAATGAGGGAGGAAGACAGGAAGTAAGTTAGGGATGGAGCTGGGGAGGGAGGGAGCATACAGGAGAGCACAAAAACACACCCACAGTTCTAAAGCTCTTTGCACTCAATAAAAGTGGCTACTATGTCTCTACTAAGGTTTCATACAACTAGCCTATTGAAAGGAAAAATGGGAGTTGAACAAGATCATTTAGCATCTAAAGAAGATGAATCAGAGAAATTAGATGGATTATGGTTATAAAGGAAAGCCCAGCTACTTGCTTTCATACTGCCACTTCAAAAGTAACTATTACACCTGGACTCACTACCAGGACATTTTCTCTTAAATGTCTCGAGCACCCAAGTTTGGAAATTATTTCTTATATGTGCAGTTCAAGACTCTACTAGATAGAGATGGAGTTGGTGGGAAGAAGAAAAGGATGAGGGGCAGAGAATCATGGGCCAAAAGGAAGCTTTAAAAATAATTTCTGATTTTAAATAAACATCTATTTCTTTTTATTTTTTTTTATTTTTTATTTTTTTTTATCCTCACCCAAGGATATTTTTCCATTTTTTTTGTACAGATAGAGTGGGAGGGAGAGAGAGGAAGGGAGAGAGAGAGAGAGAGAAACATCGACGTGAAGGGACACATCGAGTGGCTGCCACCCGCACGACCAACCAGGGCCGGGGACAAACTACAACCGAAGTACGTGCCCTTAGCGGGAACCGAACCCGGGTCTCTCCGGACCGCAGGCCGACGCTCTAACCGCTGAGCCAAACTGGCCAGGGCGACATCTATTTCTTTTTAAATGGGTTGACTTTATGATATGAAAATTGGCAGGTTTGAAAATAATTCTTGCTTGCAGTTGCCAGATGGAAAGAGGGTTGGGGAGCTGTTTAAAAAGGGTGAAGGGATTAAGAAGTACAAATTGGTAGTTACAGAATAGTCATAGGGATATAAAGTACAGCATAGGGAATACAGTCAATAATATTATAATAACTACATATGCTGTCAGATGGGTACAAGATTTATTGGGGTGATCACTTTGTAAGTTATATAAATGTCTAATCACTGGGTTACACACCTGAAACTAATATTATATTGTATGTCAACTGTGATTTAAAAATTATTTTTATAAAAAACAAGCAAACACACACACACACAAAATAAAAGAATAAAAAATAAAAAAAAAATAATAAAAAAGAAAAAAATGTCAATTGTTGAAGATGGCAGCGGGCAGGACCGGAGGGATGGTGAGTGTGTGAGAGAGTGAGCTAGTGTGTCAGAGAGTGTGAGTGGACATGAAGGTGGACAACCAAACTCATGTAGTGCAGAGACGTGGAGCAGAAGGTTTCTGTGCTGTGGACCTGAACAGCTGGCTACCTCCATAAGTGGCCCTTTAGCGTGCTTCTCCCTGCGCCATGGGGAGGTCCCACCATTTTGGAAGATCCCAGGTCTTCCCTGGGAGGAGGCAGTGGGAGCGGCTAGGGCCCAGCAATCTGAGCCCACCAGTGCACCTGGCACCATCGGACCAGTGGACACTCTGTGTCAACACAGACCAGTACACAGTAGTGGAGCTCCCAAGGTGCCAGTCACGGAAGACAGGAACAGCCCAGAGCCCAGAATCATCCTCCAATCAGAGTCGAGATATACCCCCAGCAACAGAGCCTGGGGAGCAGACATCCATCCCCAGGCAACAGAAGCACAGATCAGCAGCTGAGATCCATCCCCAAAAACTACAGCAAAAGTTGAGCAGTTGAGCTCCACAGGGCAGCAGCACTCCCCAGCCACCAGCGGCGGGACCTGGGGCTCCACAGAGGCCTGTGTGACCCAGTAGCCGGAAAGAGTGGTGGAAAGCCAGACCCCGAGAGGGACTGGTGAGATCCAGCTTCCTGCCCATGTGACCTGCAGAGTGCTGGGGCACCAGAGAGGCCTGTGCAACCCAGCAGGGACCATGCAATCTAGTAACCCACGAGACCTGCAGGGTGCTGAAGCACCAGAGAGGCCTGTATGACCTCGCAGGAACTGTGCCATCCAGTTACACACGGGACCTGCGGCATGCTGAAGCACCACACAAACCTGTGCCACCCAGCAGACAATAACATAGGCATAGCACAGGAGCCCCAAAGAAACTGTACAATCAAGTTACTCACGGGACCTGCAGGGTACGGGGGCACTAGAAAGGCCTGTACAACCTAGGTGTACACAAGATAGGCATAAAGGATGTGAAAATAGAGGCAGAGTGAATGGAAGCTACACAGACAATCTCCCAGGACCAAACAGGAATTACAACTGAAATAAAGACAAATCCTCAAAAAAAAGCAACAGAAAACCAGCAGGACAGGACCATATAATCAGGGACACTGGTAGGATCTGCGGAGCCATGAGAGGGTGGCGGGCTGGGAGCCCACAGACTACACCAGTCTTACCTGTGAGCAGCACCCTTGGGGAATAAAGACCAAGCCCACTCCACAGCACAGAGAGCCAGGACAGAGCACTAAAATAGCCACAACCACTCACCTGGGGGCTATGGCAGAGGGATTGCAGACTGGGCTAGAACTCTGTGGGAATATGCGGGATTTGGAGGGCACTCAGAGTTTTTGCTGAGTTGTGGCCACAAAAGACAGTGGACAGTGTGCTCCTTCCCAGAGTTGTTGGGAAAAGCAGCAGCTCCCCTTTGGAGATTCAGCCTTTCCAAGGTGAAGCAAAGAAATGCAAATTGAGGCTCATTAACAACCAGCATCTATCCCACCCTCTGGAAATCCTCTTATGCAGAACACCAGGGCCACATTCCAAGGCACTGACTAACTGAGACTACTAGCCTCCAGGAAAAAGCTAAAGAATAACTGAACCTATCCTGGGCTTACAAATCTACCCAGGAAAGTAAGACATGACAGTGGTGTTTAATGTGAACCCACCTAGGCTCATTCAAACCCAGTAAAGGGAGCTACAAAAAGCAGAGCACCAACACCCACAGGGAAAATTGGGCAGGCTCCAAAACCACAGAATAGCCAAAATGGTGAAACAGAGAAATAAAAGCCAAATAAAAGAACAAGAAAACTCTATCGAAGATGACATAAATGAAATGCATTTAAGCAAATTTTCAGAGGTAGAGTTCAGAGCCATGACCTTGAAGAAGCTCAACAGCATGAGTAAGGACATCAGCACCATGAGTAAAGACATAAAAATGTTGAAAATTAACCAATTGAAAATTAAAAACCACCTAGAAGAAATCAAGAATGACATATCAGAAATAAAGAACACAATGAAAGAAATAACCAGCAGAGTAGAGGAAGCAGAGTACCGGATCAGTGAATTAGAAGACAGGGTAGAGAAAATCAACCAATCAGAACCCCAAAAGGAAAAAATAATTAAAAACAGGAAGATAGCTTGGGACAACTGGAAACATAATAACATTCACATCATAGGAGTCCCCAAAGAGGAAGAAAATGAACAAGGGTTAGAGAATATATTTCAAGAAATAGTTACAGAAAACTTTCCTAACTTGGTGAAGGAAGAAGGCATTCAAGTTCAAGAAACACAGAGAGCCCCAAGTAAGAAGAACCCAAACAGGCCCACACCAAGACACATAGTAATTAAAATGCCAAAAATTAAAGACAAAGAAAGAATCCTAAAAGCACCAAGAGATAAGCAAGAGGTTAACTACAAAGGAAACCCCATAAGGCTCTCAGCTGATTCCTCAACAGAAACACTAAAGGCCAGAAGGGAGTGGCATGAAGTAATCAAGGTCATGAAAAACAAGGATCTGAATCCAAGACTACTCTATGCAGCAAGGCTATCATTCAAAATAGAAGGTCAAATAAAGAGCTTTCCAAACAACAAAAGTGTAAGGGAATACATTAGCAACAAACCAGCATTGCAAGATATGCTGAAAGGACTGCTGTAATTAGAAGAAATAGGAAGAAAAATAGAACCACACTAAACAAAAATGGCAATAAATAAGTACATATCAATTATCACCTTAAATGTGAATGCTTTGAATGCTCCAATAAAAAGACACAGAGTAGTTGATTGGATAAGAAAGCATGACACACACATATATGTTGTCTACAAGACACCCACCTCACAACAAAAGAAAGTGAAGGGATGGAAAAAAATCTTTCAAGCAAACGAAAAGGACAAAAAAGCTGAGGTAGCAATACTCATATCTGATAAAGTAGATTTCAAAATGAAGGCCATAACTAGAGACAAAAAAGGCCACTACATGATATTGAAAGGATATATCCAACACGAAGATATAACCTTGGTAAACATGTATGCACCCAATATAGGAGCACCAACATATATTAAAAATCTTCTGGAGACCCTGGCCGGTTTGGCTCAGCAGTTAGAGCATCAGCCTGCAGTCCAGAGAAACCCGGGTTTGGTTCCCGCTAAGGGCGTGTACCTCAGTTGCCCTTTGTCCCCTGCTCTGTTGGTCGTATGGGTGGCAGTCAATCGATGTGTACCTTTCACATCGATGTTTCTCTCTCTTTCTCTCTTCCTCTCTCTCTCCTCCAACTCTATCTGAACCAAAAAAAAAATGGAAAAAATAAAAATAAAATAAAAATCTTCTGGAGGACTTCAACGGAGAAATCAACAGCAATACAATCATAGCAGGGGACTTCAACACCCCGCTGACATCACTAGATAGATCATCTACACAAAAAATTAACACAGAAAAACAGACTCTAAATGAAGCACTGGATTAAATGAATTTCATAGATATCTACAGAGAATTATACAACAAAACTGCAGAATTCACCTTCCTTTCAAGTGCACATGGGACATTCTCAGAGACAGAACACATGTTAGGGCACAAACTAAGTCTCTACAAGTTCAAGAAGATTGAAATCATATCAAACATCTTCTCAGATCACAATGGAATGCAACTAGAAATCAATTGCAACAAGAACATGCAAAGACATTTCAAAACATGGAGGCTAAATAGCATGTTATTGAACAATAAATGGGTTACCATGGAGATAAAGGAAGAAATTAAAAATTTCCTGCAAACCAAGGAAAACGAACATACACAACACAAAATCTATGGGATGCAGCAAAAGCAGTTCTCAGAGGGAAGTTCATAGCACTACAGGCCTACCTCAAGAAATAAACAAAATTTCTAATAGACTATCTAACCACACAACTTAAGGAACTAGAAAGCAAACAAAAAGAGAACCCCAGAGCAAGTAGAAGGAAGGAAATAGTAAAGATCAGAGCAGAAATAAATGGCATGGAGACCAAAAAAGAAAAAAAAAACAAACAATTCAAACGATCAATGAAACAAAGAGCTGGTTCTTTGAAAAGATAAACAACATTGATGGACCCTTAGCTAGACTCACCAAGAAACAAAGAGAGAGAACCCAAATACACAAAATCAGAAATGAAAGAAGAGAAATAATAACTGACACCACAGAAATAACAAGGATAATTAACAAATATTATGAACAATTATACGGCAACAAATTCGACACTAGAATGAAACTAGACCATCAATTTACACCATACACAAGAATAAACTCAAAATGGATAAAAGACTTAAATGTGATTCATGAATCCATAAAAATCCTAGAAGAAGATGTACACAACAAAATTTCAGACAGCATACGCAGAATTTTCACTGACATCACATAAGGCAACAGTAACTAAAAAGAAAATGAACACATGGGACTACATCAAACTAAAAAGCTTCTGCACAGCAAAAGAAACCACCACCAAAATGAAAAGGCAACTCACTCTATGGGACAGCATAATTGCCAACGATACATCAGATAAGGGGTTAATTTCCAAAATACATACAGTGCTCATACAACTCCACAAAAGGAAGACAAAGAACCCAATTAAAAAATGGGCAGGGGAACTAAATAGACACCTCTCCAAAGAGGACATGCAAATAGCCAAGAGACATATGAAGAAATGCTCAACATCACTAATCATCAGGGAGATGCAAATCAGAACATCAGTGAGGTATCACCTCACACCAGTCAGAATGGCCACCATCAACAAAGCATCAAACAACAAGTGTTGGTGAGGGTGTGGGAAAAAAGAGGACTCTAGTACATTGATGGTTAAGATTTGGAAACAGCCCAAATGTCCATCAGTAGACACATGGATAAAAAAGTTGTGGTACATATACAAATGGAGTACTATGCAGCTGTAAGAAAGAAAGATCTCTTATCCTTTGAGATGACATGCAAGGACCTGGAGAGTATTATCCTAAGCAAAACAAGCCAAACAGAGAAAGACAAGTATCATATGATCGCACTTATTTGTGGAATATAATGAACATAACAGTCTGAGGAATGGGGTAGTCCCAGAGACATGGAAATGGGGTACAGACTGACAATCCCCAGAAGAGGGAGTTGAGGGGAGAGATAAACCACAGACCTTATATGCATGAACAGTGGACATGGACAACAACGTTGGGGACAGGGCAGGTAACAGGGAATCAGTGGGGGAAAAAGGAAGAACATCTGTAACAAAAATTAATTAATTAAAAAATAAATAAAAATGTTAATTGTTAACTACAAAAAATAAAATAAAAATAACAGCCCTTTAAATTAGGCACATGCCCACATACACATACCTTAGAGAAAGAGAAAATGGAATAACATTGTTGATGTCATGTGTATGTCTGTATGCAAATTATTTTCCTAATAATTTTTTGTCTGTCTTCCCCAGCAGAGAAGCTGGTGGTGGCAAAGGCAGTGTATTTGTTTTCTGGTATCAACAATGTTCTCCGGGTGTTATGGACTCAGGCTCACCTCAAATTTTGCTGCAATCAGAAAAGCAGTGGAACCAAGGAGTTGTAACTTCTCTTTTTTGCATATTTTCTTCATGAGGTAGTGATCCACCAGCTTCACTGCCAAGTAGAGGGTCTCATGATTCAGCTCAAAGGTAATCTAGAGGAATACACAAACAGGGCAAAAATCTGCATATTGTCCAGCTCCAAAATCACATCCAGATAAATCTAACTACCTGGTCTGCGGCATTGAAAACAGTAGAGCTACCAGACCTGGCCAACTGAGATTCTGCTATGAATTCGGGAACTACTTCAGGTAGGTGTCTGACTATATATCCTGTGACTATGAGAACCCTGGCATTACCTATCCCTACATTTGGGTAGGTGACTAGTCTTACAAATCAGAGAGAGAGGCTCTGCCTTCTCTATGAACACCTTGAGTGAACACACCCACTCTCCTTGATCTCCAATCCAATACATACTTAAGATTCTTGTTTTCCCCATTTGCTACTACGTTATACAGTGAATTCCCAAAAGAAATAATATTTATTTAGCTCTGAAACACAGAGACTTGTTTATTTATTAGTTTATTCATCCATTACTATCTCTTCCCAACTAGCTAAGCTATTAGAATGTATAGATTGGGAGCAAGAATGAATAGCATCATTTGGAAGTGAGCTAAGGATCTGAAAAAGCCACAATGAGATTAAAGAATTAGCCTGGCTGGTTTGATTCAATGGTTACAGCATCAGCCCGCAGACTGAAGGGTTGTGGGTTCAATTCCTGGCCAAGGACATGTACCTGGGTTGCAGGTTTGATCCCAAGCCCTGGTAGAGATTGTGTGGGAGGCAACCAATCAATGCATCTCTCTTACATCAATGTTTCTCTCTCTCCCTCCCTCCCTCCCTCCCTTCTAATCTATCTAAAAAACAATGGAAAAAGATCCTCAGGTGAAGATTAACAATAGTAATAATAATAATAAAATAATTAGTAGTAGTGGTATAACCCTCCTTCCCTTCTCTTATTTATCCTGCCTTTATCAATTCCAATAAACCATCTTCTATAAAAGTAGTCCCAGAGTTAGTGCTGGCCTATATGGCATCCTTGTGAAAATTAGAAAAAAAAGTACCTTGTTTGGGTGAATGGAACCCTGAAGGCACACATCTTATCAAGTTTAAAATACCTTTATATGAATTAGCAAAAGGTGCCCCTACCTCAGGGCATAGCAGCCCCACAGCCAGAATGCACAGCTTGGCAAATGGAGTAAAGCTGGATTCCACTGCCTGCTTTTGCCTTGGCTGAAGGCAATGTGTAGCCACAATTTGCACTGTACACAGAGGTCCTATGCAATCCTCATTGATGCTTTTTCCTCACAACTCCTTAGGGTCTTAGGATTTGAAAACAGTAAAATCCATATTTGTCCAACATCTCGACCAATGCTTAAACCCTCTCTTTATGCCTCCACCAAATAGTTGTTCAGTTCCTGCCATAAAACCTCCAAATATAGCCTGATCTCTCTTTGAATAGTTTTAACAGAAAAATCTTTCCTATATTGAATAGAAAAAACCCTCCCTGTAAGTTTTACCTACCTCATGGGACTCCTTTTGTATAGGCTACAGTTATTGACTGGAGCCTGGATGACCACAAAGTAGGTCAATAAGAAGCTTTGGAGATGCCCTGGCCGGTTTGGCTCAACAGTTAGAGCGTCAGCCTGTGGTCCAGAGAGACCCGTGTTCGGTTCCCGCTGAGGGCACGTATCCCGGTTGCAGTTTGTCCCCAGCCCTGATTGGGTCTGGTTGGGTCGTGTGGGTGGCAACCACTCGATGTGTACCTTTCACATCAATGTTTCTTTCTCTCTCTTCCTCTCTCTCCCTCCCACTCTATCTGAACAAAAAATGAAAAAAATGTCCTTGGGCGAGGATTAAAAAAAAAAAAAGAAGCAGCTTTGGAGAAGTTGATGTATATTAGCATACATGAATGATCATCAGAAGATGGTTGAATATATTGGTTCATCGATAGATACATTAAGTTTTTGAATAACAGGAATACCAAAAAGCTGTTCCTGGGATATGGCCTTAGATGCTCTCAGAAATCTGCCTTCATTCGTTTCCTATTACTGCTTTAATTATTACACACTTAGTGGCTGAAAATAACAAATTCATTATCTTACAGATCTAGAGTTCAGAAGTTCAAAATAGGACTCACTGGGTGTTAAAAAAAAATCAAGGTGTTAGCAGGGCTGTGTTTTTTTCTAGAAGTTCTAATAAAGAGTCATTTTTCTAGCTTCTAGGATTCCTGCACTCCTTGGTTTAGAGTTTCTTCCATCTTCAAAGCCAGGAGTGGCCAGCTGATTCTTCTCACACTAGTCACTTTCTGACTCCCTCTTCCACATTTAAGGACTCTTGTGATTACATTGGGCCCACCTGGATAATCCAGGGTAATCACCACCTTAAATACAGCTGATTACAATCTTAATTCCATAGTCTACTTAATTTCCCTTCATCACGTAAGGTAACATACAGGGTGGGGCAAAAGTGGGTTTACAGTTGTGAGTACACAAAACACAAAGTTTATTTTATTATTTTCCATACAAACAACTGTAAACTTACTTTTTCCCACCTCTGTATTCACAGGTTCTGGGTGTTAGGATGTGGACATTTTATTCTGCCTTCTACATTTTCCAAGAAATGTTATAAGAAAGGAATGAGGAGAATTCATGCAGATGAAGGTTAATGACTACCACCTTAAGTGTCAAGAAATTGACGTCAAATAATTACACAAAAAGAGAAATGGAAAGCAGCAGTTCTCTGAGATGATGCCTCTGTGAACAAATGACAAAGTCAGTGCTTGTATAGCCTCCTGCCAGTACTTCACATAGACACTTGGCCACCTATGTAGCAGGTTGTTATCAAATGGAAACATCTGAAAGTGTGGGTAATACCTGAATGAATGCTTGAAATTGGAGTCAAGAAATATTTAAATCAGCAGCTCTGTCAGTACCTTAAATGTAAGACATTCTAACATAATTCTTCTAACATAATTCGACCACTTGGGACTACATGGAACAAGTCTAATCCTTCCTGTGACAGCCCTTCAGCTAAACATCTGTAATACTGTCAATAATAAAAATATATATTTAAAAAAAAATAAAAGTTATTATGTCTCCTATAAATCTCCCTTCTATACGAAATAACTTGACATCACATAATATGGTTTTCTGTCTCCTCAGCATCAGGCTCCAAATGATGAGCCTATGGATGAATTAATTTATTACATAATTTAAGATTTAAAAAGATAATCAAATATTAATAAAAGTGATAAGACACACAAAAAGAGATCTGAAAGGATATACTCTATAGTTGTTACTTCTGAGAAATACAAATAGAAGAAAAGGGTTGCTAGTTTTATACAAACACATATACACAAATATATGTAAATGCATACATGCATACTATAAACTTGTTAATTTTGTAGTTTAGAAGAAGTGTATAGGGCAAAGAGGTTAAGGTGAGATGGAGGGGGTGAAGAATTGCCAGAAGAAATTAACTAAACAACAATGATTGTGGGCGTTTCACACACTACGCTCAGACTTTTTGATAAGCAGAAAAAAATAAATTAGCACTTAAACTATACTGAGAATTATTAAGCCGCCCTGGCCGGTTTGGCTCAGCAGTTGGAGTGTCGGCCCATGGACTGAAGAGTCATGAGTTCAATTCTGGTCAAGGACATGTACCTCGGTTGCAGTTCCTCCTCCACCCTGCTCGGGGTCGTGTGGAAGGCAACCAATCGGTGTGTCTCTCTTGCATCGATGTTTCTCTCTCTCTTCCCCTCCCTCCCTCCTGCTCTATCTGAAAATGGATGGAAGAGTGTCCTCGGGTGAGGATTAAAAAAAAAGGACAAAGAATTATTAAGCCAAAATTAATTGATATAATGGTCTTTATACCTATAGAGAATATATTTTTTCTTCAAATATCAGTGAATCATTTATAAAAACCAACTAAATCTGAAGCCATGAATAAAATCTCATTAACTTAAGAAAAGCAAAAATTATCATTCAGGTCACATTCTCGATACACAATGTAATAAATCTAAAAATTGGTGATAAAAGGATAAACCAAACCAATGAAAAGCGAAGCATTTGAAAAAATGGTAAGCATTATAAGAAATAAACAAAACCTGGGTCAAAGAGGAAGTAAAAATTACAATTAGAGTTTATTGAGAAAAAACAAGATAGCTACAACACTGTCTTTCAAAACTAATGAGATGTACTCAGAATTGTTACTTAGAAGAAAATGTATAGCTTTGGGGCTTTTATTATAAAGTCAGGAATAATTAAAATTGACTACACATTAATTTCAAGAAGCTAGAGGAAAACAACAAAATAAAGATAAAGTATAACGTTGAAAGCAGATGTTAATAATTTTTTTTTAATTTACTGATTTTAGAGAGAGAGAAAAGGAGAGAAAACATTGACTTTTTGTTTCACTTACTTATGTATTCATTGGTTGATTCTTGTATGTGCCCTGACTAGGGATCAAACAGATAAACTTGGCATATCAAGACAACACTCTAACCAACTGGGCTTCCCAGCCAGGGCCGAAATTTTTAAAAGAAAAAGTTATACATTTATCCATGAGCTGGTTCTTTGACCACAGGACTGAAAAAAACTTTTGTGAGGAAAAGAGCGTTTACATGCAGCATTTTGCATGAGAAAAATAACTGCAAAGGATAATGAAATAATACTATATACAATTTATGATAACTGAAAAATCCATGAAATGAATGCTTTTTAAGGAAAATATAAACTACAAAAATGACTCAAGAAGAGGAATAAAATGTTAGTATAACCATCAATGTTACTAGAAAAAATTATCAAAGAAGGACAGACAAAAAAAGCATCATGTTTCAGTGAGTTAATGGGTAAGTTCTTCAAGGAAAATAAAAGTCCTGTGTTAAACTTAGTATTGTAGAAAATTTTCCCTAATTATGTTAATACGATAGAGTAATCCTGCTACCAAACTTAATAAAAACAGTACCCTCCACCACAGTTATAAAGGAATCTTATTTGTGTATATAGAAGCAAAAATTCTAAATAAAAGTATAAGCACATTAAATCCAACAGCAACTTAAACCACAGCTAAGTTCATAAAAGTAGATGAA